GCCATGAAGGGCAAGAAATTCTCATCGTCCTTGGCTCACCCAGCTCGTGCACCCGACCCCCGCCACGCAGGCCGTCGCCAGCTGTGGCACACGATAGATAAGTATCCCGAGGAGCTGACCTGCCAGAACAGGGCCATGCATGCCAAGGACATCTTGAAGACGGCCATCGCCACCAAGTACCCCGTGCTGAACGAGTCCGACCTCAACTTGATGATTGACGCCTCGAAGGACATGGGCTCGGTGATATTGCTCAGGCGGATGCTGCCACCAGAGGTCCAGCCCAGGAACCCGCTGAAGATATTGATGCGCAACTTCCCGTCCTACAACCTGAAGGTAGTGCCGGAAGGTCAGCAGTGGTTGACCGCCAACGGCATCCAGATCGACCTCGCGTCGCACATGGATGAGATCAACGATCCGCCCCGTCGGGGTAACTCGTGACTAGCTGTGGAGCCACAAAGACGACTTCCGTCCAGCGACGACACTGTCATCATCAGCTGGAACTGCCGTGGAGTTCCGATGAGAAGTGCCGTGAGGGGGCTGGAGTCGATGGAAGTCGAGTTTCACTGGGATATACTTTGCATTCAAGAATTCACAGACATGCGGAAAGTTAGCGACGAGATAGCCGGCCATCGCGTGCTTCTAGGATCCTCTACAAGTGGACGGAAAAGGAGACCCGCGATCGTGGTGCATAAGACACTCAAGGCCTGCGTCAGCGTCGACCCCATCGTCCTGGGGAACAGCATAGCCGTGGGGATCCTGACCCCCCAGGGCGGCCATCTCTGGATCATTTGTAGTCACTTTGAAGCCGATACCAGTCATCATGCAAAATATTATCAGGACTTAGCCGATTGTGAGAGTTTGCTCGCCAGATGCCCACATCACTATACGCCCATGCTCTGTGTAGATGCCAATGCCTCTTTCGCTTCCGACAGGTCGGCCACTACCTCGGTCGGACCCTACACCGTCGGAATGAGGACGTGGAAGACGGGCGCTTTTCACGAGTTCATAGTGAGTAATAATCTGATTTTGAGCAACACTTGGAGCAAGCCGCTGCAAGGCTCGGCCACGTGCTTTTATGACGGTAAGTTTGAGCCTCGCCAGATTGACTTCGTGGCCATCGGCAGAGGCCCTTCACGGGGATCGTATGACTGCCAACCCCGCTGCTGCTCTGCCTGGAAGAGTGACCACTGTCCTCTGATTTTTCGGTTCTTTGCAGCGAAGAAACCGAAGCCTGCTTTCGTGCCGAACATAGAGTGCAGCTTTAAAGCCAAACCTGTAGGCTGGCGCTTACTCGATCATTCTTTTTCTAGGAAGGTAGAAGACCACCTGGGAATCGAAGCGCGCTTGAACGTAAGCAGTAGCCTCGAAGATGCCAGCTACCGTTTGTACAGCGACGGCCACTTTAAGCAGTCCTCCAAATCACGCCAAACGTGTGGTTGGGGCTTTGCTGTCTTCCACGACCCCCCTGGGCTCCCCGAAAACTCGAGGGCTCCAGGAACCCAAGTCGATCCGATTTTCCAGAGTTGTGGCCCCGTCTTTCTGGATCCCTCTCAGGCAGGTTTCTTAGGTGCGGTCAGGTTGACGAACAACACCGCGGAGTTGACGGCGGCCATCGAGATGGGCCTCTGGCTACTGGGGCTACACCTACCGTCAGGCGCTGCTTCGATTCCAAAGGGTTCCACCTTAGAAGTTATTTTCGACTCGACCTACGTCCTGAGGATCCTGGAATACAAGTTTCGACCGAAACATAATGTCGTGCTGGCGATTTTACTTCAGACTGTTTGGGCCGCTGTCAAAAGGGATTTCGTGATCTTTTACTCTTGGGTAAAGGGCCATTCGGAATGTAGAGGAAACACTGTAGCTGATAGTCTGGCTCTCGAAGGAGGCCGTTCGCATCAGGGACCCCTTGGAGCTCACAAATGGACCTCAATCAGACCCTACCCGACCCCTCTCCTGGACGCCAACCTATTTCAATCAAGCCTCAGTAATGCAGACGTGCCAGTGGCTGAACAACAGTATTTATATCATCTTAGCTCGGCACAGCACTCCTGCCAGCTGTTCGGCAAGCGGTGGGCAGACCTGCAGGACAAGCCGCGCAAGGGCCGTGTCAAGAAGTTGGATCGTAACGCAACGGATGCTCCACCGCCCGAAATCGAACTCTCTCGGCATGATCGGCAGGGACAGCCCGTCCCGTCTCTGGGATCTTTCGCCTCCATGGTTGGCAAGTTCGCCGCCTCCTGCGGCAAGAAAATCAACCTGGGACCCCCCAACGTACCGAAGGAGCACCCTTTGAGTTACAGGTTGGAGACCTACCGTAAGGCAAGGGATGTGGAGCAGGACCCGAGCATTCGGCACGCCATGAGTTTGCAGATGGTAGCGCTCATGCGCCAGTATGCGTTTCTGAAGCAAGATTTGCGAGCTGAATATTTCATTAAGCATCGTAAGGTGGATCGTTTCAAGGGGCAGACGAAAGTGAAAGCTTTGAAGATCGGGGTAGGGGACACCATCACGACGGACGAAGATGAGATGAGGGAGGAGGTGGCACGGTTTTACGAAGCCCTTTTCAGTGATGAATTCGGCCCAGCCTTACCGAAGTGGGTATGGCAGCACTGGGAGCCCGAGGCAGTGACGGCCCTACCACGACGTCTTGACGCCCAGCTGCTCCGTCGATGTCTAGCCAGACTTAAACCGGGTAAAACTTGCTCTAAAGATGACTGTATCGTGATGGAAATGCTTAGAGAACTCAGTACCGAAACTTTGGACATTTTAGCCGAGATCTACGTGCTACGGTTACGCAATCATCCTAGTGAAGCTGCTGATCCTATATTTCACCGACATCAGGTTACATTACTAGCTAAATTTTATGGTGCATGCAGGGTTCGAGACTTCCGTCCGATCGCGCTGCTGTCTTGCTTGCTGAAGCTGTTTTCGATTTGCCTGGGCGAGCTCGCCAAGCTGCCCGAGATGCCTCTCTCTAGACTGCAATTCGCCTTCCGCAAGGGCTACCAGGTACACGAGATTGTGGCCACCACGCGCACACTGGTGGAGCGTGCTGTAGAGTTTCGCGAACCTCTCTATCTGGGGGTGGGGGATCTACATAAGGCTTACGATCATGTACGACATCATCACATCATCACTAACCACAAGTCCCGTCGGATCCCCCAGATCATCACCGCTGCCTGGCTGAGAGAGATCAGGAATGGAAGATCAGAGTTTTTGCTTCCTGGTCTGGCGCCTACACGACAGATCCCTCGCACTAGGTCTTTGTTGCAAGGGGACCCCGAGGCTCCCAGTCTTTTCAACCTGTTCCTGGACGATCCGATTACCGAGTTTGAGCGTACCTGTGAAATCCATGGGTGGGGTTACCCTCTGGAGCCTGAGGACCTTGCCATCCTGAAGACCCCGAAACGACAAAAACGAGACTTACAGATCAGGCGCCTGCCGTTGATGGTCTTTGCCGACAACTTTTATTTGCTCGCGACGTCCGCGCCGATGCTACGAGGCATGTGGACGGCATGGCACCGCTTGCTGCGCGAGCGCTACGCGTGCAAGATCTTGCACAGCGATTGTTTCTGGCTCACGACCGCGGCCGACTCGGCGGCGACTCTCAGATTGGGGGAGGACATTATCCCTAGGAAGGGCCGAGGAGAAGGTTTCCGACAGCTGGGCGCGTGGATAACGCTAGATAACTGTGCGTCGGCGGCGGTCAACCGTGGGATCTCCAGGGCCTGGGCCGCTTTTGGTTCCCACCGTGCTCTCCTCTGCAACAAGAAGGCCCCCTTCCTCAAGCGTCTGAATTTGCTGGACTCGGTTGTGCGCTCGGCGGCTTTTTTCTGTTTTGGCAGCCTGAATTTCACCAGGGCTCAGTTGAGCCAACTACGTGCGGTACAGTACCGCATGATTCGCCATATGTTGGGAGTGAGGAAAGCCGACGACGAACAGATGGATCAATATATGAAACGGGTTTATCATATCATTCACTCACAAATGGCTAAAGCCAATACTCGTATGTGGGATGAATATGTACTTCTGCTAGGTCATCGTTGGGCTGGTCATGTAGCCCGTATGCAAATATATGATCAAGATCGTGTCGTCTATCGAGCCTCAGTGTATAAAGATTATCGCTATCTTCGACATCTCGAACAGGAAATAGGCAGCCAGGGACATCACTATAATTTCCATGTATGGCGATGGGAGAAGCAGTTCGCTGATTTTTACGGCACAACTTGGAGAGAGCTGGCCGTGCAGCAGGAGGCCTGGAAGGACTCCGAGATCGACTGGCTAACCTTTCGGAAGAACACGTTCAATGGACAGGGGAAACCCAAAAAGCACAAACCCAATCCTGAGGCTTCCTGGATTTACCTGAGTTTCCAACACTATGCTTCCCTCAATGCCGACCTTAGTTCTTTTTGACTGGATCGACTTGGGGGTCTTCTTAGGCATCCGCACCATAGTTTGTCTTCCTGGGGAGGTAGGCTTTGTGTTTAGTCTCCCCGATTTCCCACACCACTTTGAAGCATCCCGATCGGCTCGGCCCCTAGAGGTACCTCCTTGAATGCCGTGTGAAGTGAAGTGAAGTCGTCGGGGTCGTTGTGGTCGGCCGCGTGCCCACGGTCGTGGTCGTTGTCGTGATCTTCGGCGCCGTTCTCGGATCCTCCCTGATGTCCCGCTTCCCGTCGTCGTGCTCCTCGTCTTCGTACTCCTCGTCGTCGTCGGTCGCCGTCGACCCCACTCGCCTTCGCCCTGTCCTGAGCTGGCCTGATCCGCCTTAGAGTCTTTGCCAGGACGAGTCGTCGTCATCATCTTTCTCGTCGTCCTCCTCGCCACCGTCACCGTCGCCCCCGTCGTCTTCGTCTTGGCCGTCGACCTTGTCGTCGCTCTCGTTGTCGTTGCCGCTTCTCTTCGCCCTTGCGTCACCCTCGTGCCTTTGTCGCCGCCGACGTCGTCGCTCTTCCTCGCCCTTCTCGTCCTCGCCGTGGCCGCCGTCGGCTTGCCACGAGGACGTTCGTCCACGCCTGGTCGCAGTACGACGCAGCCTCCCCGCCGACGTCGAGGCCCTCTCTTAGTCCTCGCTCTCCTCCTGCTCCCTCTTCCCCCGCTCCTACAGCAGGCACATCAGATAAGACATCGTCCTGCCAACAGCTGCCCAATGGAACTGTTTCACCGCCCGATGGCCCCAGGGACCCACAGAACCCTCAATGACTTGGGGCAAATCATTTTTGTTTTCAATCCCCTTCTCGAGCTTTTGAGGCCACTCAGACACCGTCGCCTCGGGGCCTCGTTCTGTCGCGGCAGCCGAGGGCCCCAGCCCTCCGACGATTCTACTTGCTCCACCCTGACGTCTTCCCTCGGTTTCGGCTTGCCGGGCCGCTGGGCCGTCAATAGACTGAGTAGGAGATCGACTACAGAATTCATTTGCCCCAGAATGAGACTGTTCGCAGTTCGGACCAACACGTATAATGTTCGAAGTTCCACTTCCAGTCTACGCTTTTTGTTTGAAGGTTCGGCGGGACAGTCAAGTTTGAGGTACATCGAGATTATGTAGGCGATCTTCCACTCGAAGAGTGGACCCGGGACGCAAAACTGCCCCAAAGGAGTCGGGAGTTCCAGGGCCGTGGATCGGCAGAAACACGAGGGAGGATGCCATGGGTCTGGGCTTCACCGGGGCGCTGAGCCCCCCTGCCCGTCTGGGAGGCCGTCCCGCCACCCCTGCCCTCGTCCGGGCGCCGCCGACAGGCAGTGCTGCTCGTGAGCGACGACGCGGCCTTCAGCGGCGCGCACTTCCGTCCCAGACCTGGAGGCGTCACGGCAAATGTCACGGCGGGCTGTCTTCCACGAGTTCGGCAGTCCCAGGGGGGAATGTTTTCCAGGGTCTGGGGCCCGCAGAAAACGGCCCGCGACGAAATATTGGTCCCGTGGATGGTGACGAAAGCTCCAGTCGCCCATGTCGTGAGAACATCAACACGTTTGAGGTCTGGTTCTGCTAATGTTTTGAATGCGGCTGCTTAGCTGGAGGACAGCTTAGCCAGTGCAGGTGGGGCCAGAGCGCCGCATAGCGCGAGCGATCTCCCACAAAGTGAAGCACAGCTAGGCCGCACTACATTTTTAACTGCTATCATGCTGTAGTCGATACACAGTGGCCCCGAAGTCGGTTCGACAGCTCGATCGATCGAGATGACGGTTGGATTCTCTGCTACGCGATGGGCCGCCTGTGCTTGATGAGGCACAGCGACTCCCAGCAGGAACCACCTCTGTCATTTCTGGCCTGTTTACTCACCGAGTCATGCCTGCGATATTGATCCAGGGCAGGTGTGGGTTTCTCGCCTAGCTATACTCCATGAATGTTTTGTTTTGTTGCTTGGACACGCGACTGCCTGGCAATGACCACGCGCGTGCCCACGCAGCGGCGCTGGACAACAGCAGCGCTTTTCTCTGCTCACTCTTGCGTTACTGCGCCTGCCGACCCCTGGAGGGTGTTTTGAGGCCACGGGGATGACACGTCATTCTACGCCCGACTGCCATCGATAGTATGATCGCACTCGGTGCAGCACATACCATACTTCGCTTTGAGGCATTTTCTCTTGGCTTGGTATTGGCCATGCCATCCTGTAATACCTGCCAGAGTGCACCCAAGACAGTCAGTTCCTACACACATTCGATGTGCAACATGTGTGGTGCAACCTGTGTATGGTGTAGCTGATGTGTTGCATGGCGCGATTCAATACAAGTTGTGTTACCTACATCATGCAATTTAGATTGAACAATACAACTTATTGGGTGCAATGCATGGCTACTGGCAAGGGGATCCTGTGGGTCCTTGGACGGCTTCGGGGGCTCCCTGACGCCTCTGGACACCCTTCCCAAATGAGCCTCGGCACTCCAAAAAGACCCTACAGGGGGCCAAGAGGGCCCCACGACGGCCCAAGACGCCCACAATTGCTTCGAGAAGTCTTGTCAGGCCTCCAAGACGCCCCCCAAAGGGTTTCAAAATGCCTTCCGGGCGAGACCCAATAGGCAACAGTCATGTATTGTCCTTGGGCGTTCCACGGGTTGTCCTGTTGTCTCGTGTTCCGCTTGCCGACGCTCAGGGGCTGCACAAGAAGCTTACCAGATCGCTCAAAGACGGCCCAAAAACGTCCAAGAGGACCATCACACCCCAAGATGGCGCCAAGACGGCCCAAGTTGGCCCAAGAGACCCCCAACAATAAGCCTCGACTCCCCGAGCAGGTCTTGAAGGAGGGCCGAAAGGGGCCCCAAAAGACGCCCCTGAGACGTCGACGTTCTCTTCAAAACGGCCCACCCAGCCTCGAAGACGCCCCCACGAGGCTCCAAGACCCCCTCCGAGAGGGACCCACACGCCGAACACGAGGAAAACGAGAGAGTTCCCACTGGTTGTTCAAGAATTAGGTGACCACATGCGAACCCTACCCCTACCCCGCACGATTTCTGAGGGGGGGGGGGGGGTTCAGTCCGTTCGGGAGCTCCCGAGCGAAGTGAACCCCACCCTCCCCCTCAGAAATCGTAGGGGGTAGGGGTAGGGTTCGCATGCGGTCCCCTAAAGGATTCTGCCGTTGTCGCTTGTTCCGCTTGCCGACGCCCCAAGACTGCCCAAGATTTGTCCCAGATCGCTCCAAGACGGCCAGGGGCGTTCAACAGGACGCCAGGCGCCAGGACGGTCCAGGAGGAGCCGAAGGCGGCCTATTAAGCCCAAGAGGGCCCCGCGAATGAGCTTCGACCCGCCAGAGGGACCCCGAAGCCAAGAGGGCCTCTAGACGCCCCGAAGACGCCCGCACTTGCTGCGAGACTGCACAACAGGCCTTCAAGACCCCTAAGAGGTTTCCAAAATGCCTTCCGAGAGAGAGAACCACAAGTCAAAGCCTCTGGTTTTCGTAAGGTCTGTCAAGTTCTCCCGTTGTAGCTTGGTCCGCTGGCCGGCGCTCAGGGGTTGCCCAACGGCTTACCAGATCGCTCGAAGATGGCCCAAGGAAATCCAAGAGGGCCCCAGCACACCCCAAGAGCGGCGCCGAGACCGCCGAAACGGGCGCCAAGGCCGCTCAAGGGGCCCCAAAAGACGGCGCCAACAAGACGTGGCCCCGAGGGAAGGCAGGAACGGACATTCCCAGCACTCCGCTTCGAGAGGCTTCCAAGAGCCTCCTAGAGGCCCGCGAGCCGCCCCAACGAGCCCGAAGAGGCTCCGAAGGAGCCTCCCAGGGAGCCCCCCAGAAGTTCCCAAGAGACGCCGCGGCAGCCCACGACGGGCCCTCCAAGGCAGCCCCAAGAAGCAAAGTACACGATCTGCTTACGAAGTTCGAAGGCTTCTCGCCCTTTCGCCTCCTCGACGGCGCAAGACTGCACCAGAAGCTGCCCAGATCACCCAAAGACGGGACAAGAGGCACCCGAAAGGGGCCCCAACACGGCCCAAACCATCATGTTGCCGGAGAGCTGTCCGGCAACATGGATGTCGCCGCCAGCCCGAGGAAAAGGACGAGGAAGAGGATGAGAGGGAGATTGATGGTGGAGTCAGGGGATGATGATGGTGATGATAATGCTGATGATGATGACGACGATGACGATAACGATGACGATGCTGATGATGATGCCGATGCTGATGATGCTGCTGCTGATAATGATAATGCTGATGCTGATGATGCTGATGATGCTGATGATGATGCTAATGATGCTGCTGATGATGATGCTGATGATGCTGCTGCTGATAATGATGATGATGATGATGATGATGATGATGATGACGATGATGATGATGATGATGACGATGACGATGACGATGACGATGACGATAACGATGATGATGATGATGCTGATGATGATTATGATGATGATGATGATGATGATGATGATGATGATGGTGATGATGATGATGATTGTGATGATGATGCTGATGATGATGATGATGATGATGATGATGATGATGATGATGATGGTGGTGGTGGTGGTGGTGAGGAGGAGGAGGAGGAGGAGGAGGAGGAGGAGGACAGGGGGAGGAGGACAGGGGGAGGAAAAGGAGGATGGCGGACGGAATGAGGATTCGAGCGGGAGGATGGAGTCGTAACCCGTGCTCGGCCGTTGGTCCCTTCCCCATTCTTCCCAGATAGTTCAAAGACGGGCCAAGACGCCTTCAAGAGGGCCCCAGCACGGCCCAAATCATCATGCTCCCAGAGGAGGAGGACGAGGATGGAAGCGGAACGCTCATTCAGCAGCTGACCCCTCCTCCGTCCTTCCCAGATCGCCCAGTGACGGGCCAAGAGGCGTCCACGATGGCCAGAACACGGCCCAAACCATCATGATTTTGGAGAGTTTTCTGAGAACATGATTGTTGCCGCCAGTCAGAGGAGGGGGAGGAGGAGGAGGAGGAGGAGGAGGAGGAGGAGGTGGAGGAGGAGGAGGAGGAGGAGGTGGAGGAGGAGGAGGAGGAGAAGGAGGAGGAGGAGGAGGAGGGGGAGATCGATGGCGAACGCAGGGGATGATGATAACGAGGATAACAAGATGACGGGTGGGAGGATAGCGGACAAAATGAGGACGCCGAGCGTGAGAATGGAAGCGGAACCCCTGCTCAGCCGATGCCCCCTCCTTCTCTCCCTCGTTCCATCCCTGCCTGGCAGTCCTCCGTCCCAGCTTTCCTCTCTAGCTTCCTCCCTCCACCCTCCTTCTCTCCCTCCCCACGCTTCCCCCTCGCACGACCGCAACGACAACGTGGCCTCAGGACCGCCGAAGGGGCCCCCAAGACACCACAAGAGGGCCCCAAGAGGCCCCCCGAGACCCACCACCCCCCAACAGGCTGCCTGACAGAGTCCCGAGCAGCAACCGCGGCGACGCCGATGACACTGGCGGCGCAGCGACCACGGCGACCACGGCGACCACGGCGCGGCGGGAAGCCATTTTTGACTCCAGGCGGCCGCCGAGAACGGCGACGGGGCGAATATGCCTAGAGTCCCCAGCTGGCGCACGAGGCGCCATGGGGGCGCCCAGGGCTTGCAGCGTCGCGGGAGCCCAGATGCCCTGCCCCTCCTCCTCCTCCTCCTCCTCCTCCTCCTCCTCCTCCTCCTCCTCCTCCTCCTCCTCCTCCTCCTCCTCCTCCTCCTCCTCCTCCTCCTCCTCCTCCTCCTCCTCCTCCTCCTCCCTCCTCCTCCTCCTCCTCCTCCTCCTCCTCCTCCTCCTCCTCCTCCTCCTCCTCCTCCTCCTCCTCCGAAGTAAGAATCCCCAACTGCAAATACTGTCTGGGAGATTACAGGAGATGAGATTGCCAGCACGTTCTCGTTCCGCAAGCGTCTCAGCAACGGGCGGCGCCCGGAGTTCAAATCGACCCGGCCGTCCTTCGCTCCGCTATTATAAACGAATTTGTGGTACGCGGTCGGATCTAGCCTCTTGCAGTCTCTTGCGGTGCACCAGTCATGCGTGAGAGCATCCCGAATTCCAGTCGGATCTAGCCTCTTGCAGTCTCTTGCGGTGCACCAGTCACGCGTGAGGACATTCTCTTGCGGTGCACCAGTCACGCGTGAGGACATCCCGCATTCGTTCCTTGGGCGTTCGAGGCCAAAAGAGCTTGTTCTGCACCGCTGCTGGCGCTTGTTTCGTCGCCCACGCAGCCCTCTTGCGCATAGAGTCCGCGTGGTGGTCATGTCCAAGGCGCACGGAGACGACTTCCACGCCTGAGCCAGGACCCAAGAACTCATTGCGCGATGTCTGACCCCGAACCAAGCCGCCAGGTTCGGTCTTTGAAGGCCACCGCGGCGGTCGCGGCGGCCACAAATCGGGGCAAGGTTTTTATCAAGGGGTGGCGTGCCCCTTCCCAGCCCCCCCCCGCTCTGCGATGCAGACGTGGCTCATAATTCACGATGCAGCGACAGAGCATTGTAAACTTATGTCCAGCGTGGGCCGTCATGTTTCCTCGGTTAGGGGTCGACTATCACGCAGCCAGGAATGTAAGCCGCTCTCTGTGCGCAGTCAGCCGCCGCTCTGCTGCGCAGTCGCCTGCTGCCTGGCTGCCAGCCTCCAGCCCTCGAACAAAAAGGGCCGCGCAGAGCCTGCACTGCGGGGGCGCACGCCTCGGGGTCCCGAGCCGTGGCGTTCCCAGTCTGGGGCGCGCCGGGACGCACGGGGCAGCCTGGGGTCAAGCAGTGGCGGGGCGTCCTGGCTTGCCTGCAGGCCCACCAGAGAATGTTCTAATACTCCAGATTTCGTAATAAAGGGAGGGGGGTCTCATTTCGGGGGGGGTCTCTTCCAGGCCATCTTGGAGGGCCTGGGGGGGTCTGGGGACGATGTTTGGGAAGGTTCTCCCACGGGGGGGGTCTAAAACTTCTCGTCTGGGAGGGTTGAGACCCCCTCCCTTTTATTACGAAATCTGGAGTAACCGTTTGTGGTGTGCACGAAATGCTCTGGCCGAGACCGTCGTGTTTTACACATCGGATTTACGTTCAGAGAACACTGTTTTGGTCGTAGATCATGCTAGGGTGCTACGAACATTTCGTGATAGGCATATAGCAGTGCCGCGACGGTCGGTTCCTGCTCAACGGCGGCCAGCACGATCGGACGGGTCAGATGATAATCAGAGGAGGGCGACTTGAGACAGCGGCGCTTGGCCTTCGGGGGGGTGCCTCGTCGTAACGGTCGGCCGCGGCTGGGAAAAGTTGTGCGCTGGGACCTCGGGAAAGGTCCGAGAGGCCGACTTGGAGCCGCCGTCCAGTTCCGCTCGCCCCACTCCGAGAGGAGACGGACAGGCATGCAGGCGCCGACGAAGGGATGGCAGCGACGAGACGATGAAGTGCAGCAGCACAGTGTCTGCACCACTGCGCGGGCCTTCACCTCGCTGCCAGCCGCTGGCTGGGAGTGCGGGGTGGTGGCCCCGGTCGCGCTGCGCGCCCCGTGCGTCGGCTGGCGGCTCATGGATTTTTCGCCCCGCGTCGCCGCCCCCGCAGGCACCTCTCGGGCGCTGCTGAAGGGGGTGGCGAGAAATGCAGGGGGGGGGGGGGGGGGCAGAAGCGACGTGCACCTTTCGTGCCCCTTCCCCCAGGGGGGGCCCCTTTCGGGCCCCCTCGGGGTAGTAACGCGCATCTGGCCGCGCGCCAGGCCACACAAGCACGCAACGGGCACTCGAGCACCCAACAGGCCACATAAACACGCAGTCGCTCTTGGGGGCCTCTCGGGGGCCTCTTGGGGTCTCCTGGGGGCCCCTTGGGGCCGAGAGCTCGAAATGTCTGTTCGGGTTCCCCATCTGGGCCCCCTCTTGGGGCCGTCTTCGGGCCCTCTTAGGCCGTTTTGGGCGCCTCTTGTGCCGTCTGACCGTCTTGCCGTCTCGGAGCAATCTTACGGGCCTCGTGGGCTGTCGTGGAGCGTCGGGAAGGCGAAAAGGCGAGAACGCTAAAATCCGCTTAATAGCCATAGGAAATCAATGATTTGTGCATCTTGGGGCCCTCGCGGGAGGCATCTTGGAGGCCTCTTTGGGCGTTCTGAAGGCCTCTTGGGCCGTCTTAGCTTCATCTTGGGCGTATTGGACCGGTCGTTTGGCGACTCGGAGCCATTTTGGGCCGTCTTGAGACCCTCTTGGGGCGCTCTTGGCCCGTCCTGGAGTCCCCTTGGGCCCGAGCAAATCATGCGACAAGCCGCGGGGGAGCCCAGGGGAAACGCGGGAAGCCCTGGTAGATTTTGCAATTTCAGGCTTGGTCCCCCTGAAGATTCTTCAGAAGTGAGGATTGAGGCTTAGAGGATGGTGCCCATGACCTCGCGATTCCATCTTTAGTGTGAGCTCGCGTCGATTAGCGTCTGGTAGTCGATAAGATAGCGCCGATTTAGCGTCGATTAGCGCCGACTAGCACAGGTTCGCGTCGACTTAGCGTCGAATAGCGACGAGCAGCGTCGATTCCGCAAGAGCCAATAAGATGGTGTGGGAGGCTCACGTGAGCTGCCGCAGAAAAGCCACCCCATTGAACGCTTCCCCTCAGAGTGGGCAGAGTGAGAAGAAGGGGGGGCAGCCCGAGGGCACTCGTCACCCGAGGCAGCGCAGACACGTAGCAAGACGCCCCCGGGCCGGTGGCGGCCCTCGTGGTGCCCCGAACGAGCAGCGCGCTCCGCCGCTGGAGCACGCTGGACTGGGCGCAGGTTTTGGGGGGCTCCTCTTTCCCCGATCCGTGGATGTGCCGCCCCGGCACCAGATACGGTAGGTTTGCGTCGTGTCGACCAAGGGCGGCACTCAGCTGGCAGAGTGAACCCAGAGTTGGAGCCCCTGCCAAATCAAGTGTGCCTTTGTGTCTTGCGTTTCGCGACCCATGTGCGCTTCATTGCTATGACAACGTGGCCCTCAGAAGGGTCTTATGTCCTCTCGCGTGTCCTCTCCAATCAAGCCCGACTGTAGGGCTTTAAGAGGGTGGCAGGGGGGAGGGAGGGAGGCAAGCGGGGCGCGCTCACGCCGCGCCTGGTATCCTGCCACTCCCGCCCATTCCTTCACACTGCGTTGGGCCTGATGCCTCGTCTGCTGCGCGGTCGGAGAGAGATTGCTTGTTGTCGGCGGGTGCACAACGGTCGCCTGGGCCAAACCCCTCCCACCCCTATGGTAATTCAGAGGTGGAAGAGGTACCCATACCCCTAATGACCCTTCCTTCGTGTTCCCCCTTTTGGGCCTCCTCGGAGGCCCTCGTCGCCACCGCTGGATTCGCATCGAAATGCGGATCAGAACGCACCCGGGGGGAGGTCTGGGGAGTAGAGGTATTGGTACTTTCTGGTTTCCCCAGTGACGGTAAAGATCGCACGTAGGGCGGGGAGGGGCGTGGGCACGCTCCCCACATGCTGTTGCTCGCGCGCATACTGTGGCGATCGCGGCGCACCCCCACCCCGGCGTGCCCCACCCCGCCCAAGCGCTACTGTTACCCAGGGTCCCGACTCCCCCCCCCACCACCAGGATAACAGCCTTTACCGCTGCAGGAGGCGGAGGAGGAGGAGGAGGCGGAGGAGGAGGAGGAGGAGATCACTGAAGGCCAACATGGTTTTTCCTTCAGCGGGCTCAGTGAAGGCAAGACAGATGCCGTCAGTGGGCAGAGGCAACTGCGCCTCCAGCTGAAACTTCTGCCTTCGGTGAAAATGGTTACCTTCAGGGAAGCAGTTGGAGCAGGGGAAGGTGGGGGAGGGCAAAGAAAAGGGGGGGGGCAGGGAGGGGGGATCAGGGAAGGTGGAAAGGCAAGGTGGGGGAAACGCAAGGTGGGGGAACGGACAGGTGGGAAGGAGAGGTGGAGGATCAGGATCAGGGGAAGGCAGGGGGAGGGCAAAGGAGGGGGGGCGGCTCTGACCAAGACCGACCCGGAACCAGAAGCGCGGCCCGTGCGGGGGGCGAGAGCGCCATCCTGAACGGTGGGGGCAAAGCACGGATCCTGAAACGTGGCCAGTGCTGCAGCGGGAGCACCATCTTGGAAGGGCCGATGACGTTTTGGGTGGACAGGTAAGGTCGGAAGTCAACTGTATACAGTCCTGCGTGTGAGAATGCAGTGTGCGAGATAGATGGGCAGGCGAAGAGAACGCCAGCATCAGGGTAGAGAAGGGAGCAGTGCCCATATTGTGGAACTGTTGAGGGCAACGCGGCCGCGGTGAGGGGCCTCAGAAGTGCAACCACTGACGAGACGGCAGGGGCACCGACGAGTGGGGCACGCTGGGGGGCCCAGGGGACCAGTGGGCACGTCTCGGCGGCCCCAAACGGTGCGGTGACCAAACCGTGGGGTGAGTCAGTGGGGATTTGGGGTTGTCCGCGCGGTTTGGGGACTTGGGTCGTCCTCCGAGGGTGTCTCGGGCGACTGAGGCCTCCAGGGTCTCAAAACCGTGCGGTGGCCAGGCCATGCGGTGAGGTCTTTGGGCGCCTCGAGGCCACCGCGCGGTCTTCCACCGCACCGGTTGGGGGACCCGCCGGCGTCGGGGGCCCCGAGCGTCGCCGCCGATCTCCTGGCGGAGGGCGCCCGCGCGCTCGCCGGGATGCTCGACGGTCGAGGCCGGTGCTTCCGAGCGCGGGGGGGAGGCGACGGCGGGGTGCAGCGGCAGGTGGCTTGGGCGCGGCCGAGCGGGGGAGGCGTCGGGAGGCAG